CCGCGGCAACACCGGCTTTTGGTTTGTGTCGACCGAGCGTCGAAGTACGTTATTGCCGTCCCCGTCCGGGACACGCTGAGCGGCGCGGACGCAGCTCTCTTCTTTTTCGACCACGATTTCTGTCGCTTCGGCCTTCCTCCCTCCATCGTTTCGGACCGCGACCCGCGGTTCACGGCGAAGTTTTGGTCCACCCTTTTCGCCCTATGCGACACTCCCTCGATATGTCGACTTCGGACCACCCCGAGTCCGACGGCCAAACGGAACGTGCCAACCACGTCCTCGAAGATATCCTTCGGAGCTACTCCGTTTCTACCGGTTCCTCGTGGGCTGCCACGTTACAGCATGCGGTTTTCGCTTACAAAGCCTCAGTTCAGGCATCCACTGGCTTCTCGCCGCATTATGCGGTCCATCTCCAACACCCCCGCCTCCCTCCAATGCTCGACGGTTCGATCTCAAGTGGGGGTGGAATCACCGCGCGGCTCCCTTCTGCAGGCGCATCCCCCAACGCTCCCAGCCGCACTCTCCAAACCATTCAGAGCTTCCTCTCTCGTCGTGACTCTGTTATACAACAGATCCATGACAACATCGCTGCCGCTCAGCAGCGCCAATCAACTCAGGCCAACAAACATTGCCGCTCTAACCTCGCGTCTTTCGCCGCTGGCGACCAAGTTCTCCTCCACAAGTCGGCGGTACCCGCCCATGCATTCCCGCACCCGTGCGGTTGGAATGTCCTCCAACGTCAAGCTACGCAGTGCTTGGCACGGCCCCTTTACCGTTCTCCGCGTGGTCAGTCCCGCCAACTACAAGCTTGACCTGCCCACCTCATGGCAGATCCATTCGACATTCTATGTGGGTAAACTCAAACGTTATTAACCGTTATTATCTACGCCTACGATCGATAAAGCAACGGCAACCGATCCTCTGGATCCCGCGGCGGCTCTTCCTCTTCCGCCGCCTCCAACTTCTCCTCCTCTCCTGACACCCCAGCCGTCGCCGGCCTCGACATCGGCACCACCACTTGATGCGGCGCCGCAATCGCCCGCGCCCCCGCCTGATAATCTGCGGCTGTTTGCCGCTCCGCCGCTATCAACTGACCATCCTGTTGAGGCCCCGCCGGCGGATTGTACCCCGCGAACGGATTCATTGGCCACGCCGCCGACAATCGCGCTGTCACCTGCGCCGCCGTTGCTCGCACCTGCGCATCTTCGCGCACCCATGTCGAAGACCTCGCCGTCGGCGAAGCGCATACGCTCGACCAGGCGCTCTCAGGGAGCACCGAAAATCCGTTTGGCGTCAACCGCGCCCCTTGCACCGGCGCCGCCGCCGACATCGTCGCTTGCCCCAAGGGGGTGAGCGCCCTGGCACTGCCGATCGCCCCCAGCTATCGCTCGAACACTTCGTCTCGGGCGAGGCCGGTCCGCTCCGGCCCAACAGTTCGGCCTTCACTTTGGCCTCCATCTTTACGGCTGTTCCAACGCCGCTCGCCTTTCCTTCTTTTCCCCCAACGCCCGTAGCGTTGGGATGTTCCCCATCGCCTGAAGATGTCCCAGTCACACCTTCGCTGGTCACCTTCCTAGCTGCTTCCGCAGCCTCCTTGGCTGCTTCGTCCGCCGCCTTCGCCGCAGCCGCTGAGATCGTTTTGGCCTCATCGGCGCGCCTTGCCTTCGCCTTCACCTCTTCGGCTGCTCTTGCCTTCTTGGCGGCCTCCTCCCGTGCCAAGTGCTTCTCCAGCAGCTTTTACACACCTTCGGCGCCCACTGTTTGCATGGCGCTCTTAACCAAGTCGGCAGCCGCTTGCTGCTCCAGCTGCCCAAGCCGTTCGCGCTTCACGACCGCCTTGGCTTCCCAGTCGGCCTTACGCTGCGCTACTTCGGCCGCGTCCTCGATTGGCGCCGCTCTGTCGTCGTCATCCGACTGTGAGGTCCACTACCTCTTCCACGCTGTCATCGGCATCTTCGGCGATTTCGCTCGCCTTGCCTTCGTCTGCCATCTCAATCTCAACTGTCACGTTACAGTTCCCTCTCATCTTTGACCACGTGATGATGGCACGTTCTGTCTTAAGTAGGGGAGGGTGTAACCGTGCCCCTCATCCGGTTACTAACCGGATGACTACCCGACACCCCTTCAGTCCAAGGTGTCTCTTCAGCCCTTCGCAGACAAACATGTCCTCTTGCGCAACCAAGGTGTTCCCCCGACGATACATCAAGGGTTGGTTGCGCGTAGCTTAGTGATAGCGTAGCAGTCTTAACGCTATCAATTCACTCTTAATTCTACCATCTCCTGCGTCTTCCTCTGCGCACGCCCACACTGGTACTACTGGAGGTATGGAGCATCCGTCAGGGGGATCCTCCCTCTGGCGGATGCTCCACACCACTTCGCTGTGGTAGTATACGTATAGTGGTAGGTCTGGCTGTGGTGGTCGTAGGATGAGCACTGTGGTGGTGGGTGTGGATGTGGTAGTAGTGGTTGGTTAATACTACTGGAGGTGTACCACGCTCTAACGTACTGTACTGTACTGTCGTTGCTAGCTGGCTGTACAAGATCAAGTCGCGGGACTTGACCAAGAATCAAGGCAATATCTTGTGTGAGTGGAAGTTCGCGGT